TCCTCTCCCCTTCTAACGTTGATTACGTCTAATATACACAATCTGTTGTACGGTTTTTGTGATAACAATGTCTAACGACTAACGATTATGGTTTGCCGAAATCCAGACTGGATATCCGTTCACGTGGCTTTCGTTAAATCCCTTTTACACGACCATCGAATCTCGATTAAATAACCGCAAGCATCCGTGCACACACTAGCGCGCGGCGTCTCATTTGCACATTAATCGCTCTAACTAGCAATTACAAAATACACTGCAACATGATACATATTCGCAGACAATGGCTCGTCGATAGTTCATTATTGATTGGCATGCTTCGGATTGATCGAACGCATTTGTCATAAGGGGATTAATGAGATCAAATTGTAACTATATTATATGAGAGAGAATTAGTAACTTAAATGAAAAAATTACTCTTGAAGAACTTATCAGATTATCCACTCTTTGTAAGTTTAAAAACTTAAAAACTTTGTTTCCGGATGATTTTAATTTCCATGATTTTAATTTTCAATTTTTGCAGATTGTGGTAATGAAATGTAATGATCTTAATCTGAATTTTTTAAGATTCTAACAGCACGGTGAGATAAGCTTATGGTAAAGTATAGATTCCTGCCGTGAAAAATTCGTTTTTCTGATTTTATTACACTATTCACTTTGCGATATTTTCAAGTACTGCCACCGCACGGAATAAACGATTTTGCTGAGGTATTTAAAATTTAACTAGATACATACAGCTCTGAAAAGAATTTTATTGGATTATTAAAATAATTACGTAAAGGCGCTTAAACGATTGATTTTTAGTCACGTTTCTTTTACATAATTATTTTGATAGTCCAACATAATTATTGTCTGATCTGTATCTAGCTAAACTTTTAGATATTTTAGCGAAACCGTTTTTGCCACACTATATATTTGCACTGATCAGAAGCTCTTGTCACAGGCTTTTTTAAATCCTTTCTTCGTCTTCTTTTATAGTAAGAGGAAGATGAAGATCTAAGACGTTGTATTTTGAACAATGACGAATGACAGTCTATTGCGTTAATATTGCCATTGTCTGCAGACGATGGATGTGATGCAAAATCCCTTGACGATCTTCAACGTGTGTGAATAGGTCTTCCAGAACAGCGGAAGTGCTTTGTGGCGTTAATTATTCCACTTTGGCATCAGGACCATGCGTATACTCTTCCTTCCTTTTGTGAGAAAAAAAGAAAATTCTACAGAAAATAAAGCAGATCTTAACATATATATTTTGCTTCGAGAACGTAACTTCATCTCTCTGATTATTTAGAAATAATCATTGCATTGTTGCTATAATTGCATTTGAAACATATAAAGAAACATGTAATAAAAACATATAATAGATCAAAGTAATTTATTCTTGATTTTTGTAAAGCAATATAAAGGAAATTGAGAAAACAAGCATGTTAATGTAAATGTGATTTCACTCATATAAAAGAAAAAACGAAAAATGGTGTGTGTTTTGATTATATTAAATCTCCATTATTCAAGAATAAAGAGTTAAAACGTCGAAAGAAAAATATAATTTATTAGTTATTCAATTGAAGAAGACATATAGAGAATGAAAGTAAATCTTATATTATACTTAATAACAAATAGAATTCCAAGATAAAACAGATTAGTCAATATATTTACGTTTATAAATACGAAAACTTATTTTAATGTTGTGAAAAATTCTAGAGAGCTGATAAGTAAATTTTATTCTCGCATCTCTCACTTATCTTTCTCGTGTATATCTATTGAATGTCGCAATCATTATCTAATGTTTTATTAAATTATGCTAGTCAACTGTCAACTGATTTTTTTTATACATAGTATAATCAAGTACAACGTTTTTATTCCTCAAGATTATCACGTATACCGTTTTGGTTAAAAGACCATTCTATTTTTGGTGCTTTGCCGTAACTATCCTACTTGATTAGTACGGGAAGATTAACAGTCCGGCGGCTAATTAAAAGCGATCGTCTTTTAAGCAACTTTGTTGTACGTCGCTCGTCGCGGTTTGAAGCCGCTCTATTTAAGAAGTATACCCTCCAAGACGTTGTGGCAGTCACTGGTGTCCCTGAGGGGTGCTTAATGCCGCTGTAATCAGCCGCTTCTACCTTACGCCTGCAAAACTGCCCTACCGCACGTTATCGGCCATTATTCCCCACGGGGTTCCTTGGAATCGTCGCTTGACAGCATTCAGCCGCACACGACGCACTTTCTTTCCGCTACATTTCACCCTCGCCACCGTTGCCGCTTTGTAGCTTTCCGAGATATACGGGAGTCTTACATTATGCACCATAGGGTGGGCGTCGACGCGAGCATGGCGACATGGGTTGTTTATGACTGTGCGTATGGGAGATTTTCTTTCCCTTAGTGTGATATTTTAGATCGTTTTTTTCCTGAAGTGGATTTTGAAGCTATGTCGAAGCTAACTTCGTTACATCAGTAACAGAAAATATTTAAGCACGAGTAACGTATTATTCAAATCTTTAAAAGTTATTCAATCAAAATCATGAAAAATAATTTTTCAAAGTCATTTTAAATTTCTTTTCTGATATGCGAATAACTAAATTAATTATTGCAAGCAATTTTCCTTAGAATTGTCATAATATTTTATTAATTAAATGTAACGTAATTATATTAATTTTTGGCTGTATAAAAATTTTAAAAATAAAATATTTTATTTTCAACGTAAATTGTAATTAGAATTTTCTTCGATTAAAAAGGTATTTTTAAAACAGTTTAGTCAAATTAAATGAACGGGCAAGAATTTTCTTACGATATCTGCGATTTTCGTATTTAGTTTATCTAATGGCTTGTGTAGTTCTTACGTTTGTAGCGATTGTTCTCTTGCGTAGAAAAGTATTTCTTGACTTAAGAGAATAGTGACTGTATTATGTACGAAGGGCGTTACAAATAAGAAGGTAGTAGATGGTCGATAAGTGCAGGTTGAAAGGGCACATTCAGAGAACGGTCTTTTAAAGAACTCTTTCTTCTTCTAAAACCTTAACAGCGCGATAAAGATAAGAGTTAAGAATAAGACGAACATATTGTTCCCAAATCTCGGGAAATCTCTAAATTTATTATTTTGTTCAGCTATAATTTTGTTATTTGTAAAATTAAATATATTTAATTATAAGTGAAAATTAGACTGATAAAAATAAATCAAATAAAAATAAGAATAAATCTGATAATTCTGATAAATCGAATCAGCGCGGTTTATAAAACCGAAAAATGTATTTCCAAATTTGTATATGAATATTATTAAACAGCATAACCTTCTTTGTTTGAAAGTAGGATTCTTTCTTTTATTAAATTATTTGTCTTTATTTTCAAGATAATTTTTTTCAATAGTAAATGATTACTCATCGTTGAAAATAAATTTATTTTATTTGTACGAATAAAAATAAGTAATTGAAGAAATTGTGAAAACTCTAAAAATTTTAATTACATAAAGTTTCATTATTCTATTAAAGTCTGTTAAATACTGATTTATTTTTCTTACAGATTTTACTATATTGTATGTATGGACCGTCAATATATGTATTTATCTGTTATATCGTGTTTACTTTTTTGTCAATGTTTTATAATTATAGTTATTGCAATATTGATTTCGTAACCATGTCTGATACGAGTAATCAGTTTGGATAAATGTTAACATCAATAAATCTTGTTTTCATTTTCTACCAATCGCATTTGTTGTAGCGTTTCCTGTTTCGGGATAATTGAATTTCCAAATATTGCGATGGAATATCTGCTAAATTATGTAGGGGAGGTTGTCGAATATTGACTTTTACTGTAGCATGAACTATATTGTTATTTATGTCAACGAAAAAGTTAACTAGAAAATTGAGAGAAGCAAATTAAAACTAAGAGAAGAAAGATATTTAGTACACGGAAAGAATGCGATTTTGAAATATCTAAAAATTTAACTAGACATAGATATGTAAGTAGATTTTGTTTAAACTATCAAAATAATTTTGTAAAATATTAGAATTGGTTGCTAGAATGTTAAAACATTTGACAGCTTTGTCATTAATGTTGAAGTGTTCTACATAATTACTTTAACCAAACAAAATTATTTTCTGATTTATACGTCACGAAATTTTTAGATACTTGAGTACAAAAATTTTATTTTAGAATTGTTCTTGTTATAGATTCATAGTCGTGATATGTAGCAAATTTTAATAAAACAATTGTGATTCTCGTTGAACATATCATATGTAATGGATCGATGGTCGTTCACTCGGTTCCACCCTTTCGGATGCCGATAAGAGGGTTGTTGGAAAACCTCCTGGTCGGTATAAACGCGGATAATATAGGAAACTTCATACGTTTCACTGGAAAAGCGGAAAATTGGGATAACATATCTAGGGTTGATAATGCATTACACAAATATGGATAACATTAGTTTGTATCATACGCAAGTAATTCGCAGATAATACACAAATAATGTTCATTTTTTTGTCAATGTAAACTTTAATCTCAATATTTAATGTACTTTCTCCAATTCTTGTAACTAGAAAGAGATGAGAAGTAAGTTAAATTGAGATTAAAGTTAATTTACATAGGTAAAAACGAATATAATTAACGTTTTTTGACAATCGCAACATATACTTTCTTATACCTTCTTTATCATAAGTATAAAGCACTCTCAATTTATTGTATTTTTTTGAAAAAGAAAAACTAACAAAGTATTAAAATAAATATTATCTTTCTTTATAAACTATATTTAATTTTTTTTGTTAGATATAGACGTTTACAGGGTTTGTGAGGATGTTTTATATTCGTAGACAAGGCTGTATTATAAATTTTGATATCATAACAAATTGATATCATTATACAAATAATGTTAAAGAATTTTATATGCTTCGTATTCTTATAACATCGCAAACTTTATCTTATAAAGAATTTAACTTATTTTACGTATGTAGGCACATGAAAAAGCGTTGTAATGTAAATTATATATAAGATCATTCTTTTTCTTCTTACAGCGAAAAAGCAAAATGGTGCTGCTCTACGAACAAACAGTTTGGGTTCGGGTGCGAGAACGCCGCCCTTGGAAAGAAAAAGTAAATTTTCTGCCCTCGGTAGACTCTTCAAACCTTGGAAATGGAAGCGGAAAAAGAAATCGGATAAATTCGAGGCTGCTTCTCTGTGTAAGTAAATAATGTGATGTAAAAATAGTTCAATTTAAACGCGACATATATTTTTATTTTTAATAATAGAAAAAACTTAATGTGATTTTGTGCTATATGTCATTTTTTGTGATTGACGTTGCTTTGTCGAAAAATCTTTGCATTTTAAAATGATGAATGTTATTAAATTTAATATACGTTTAATTAAAATGTTTGCACTCTTTTGCACGAATAAATGATATTTAATTTCTATTTTTTAAATTATTATGCCCGAAGTCGTTTTAAACATTTGCCAACAATTTGCAACATTGTAATGCAAAATTATTTAAATAGCGTTGCAAATAACAGAGCAAACAGCGTAATGACATTCGTGTACGTTTTCTTTGTCTTTGTTAATAGCGCTCGAGAGAAAAATCTCAGTACGTGCCAGCAGAGATGAATTGGTGCAGAAAGGGATATTGCTGCCCGTGATACGATCAACATCGTTTCCGGAAAATGGTGAGTATGCATTTTCTTATTCTTTTAACTTTTTTTCTATTTTTATTCTATTTTACTATGTTAGTACTGGTTTACGCTATTTTTTTGCTTGTTCTTCGATATTACGATTTTTTATTAATAATTATTTCGTTGTTCGTTTGGTCGTTTTGTATTTTAGGTAACAACTTTATCTTTCAAGTCTACTATGAGTTCAATTATATTGTCAGTTTTCAATTATTGTCTTTCTCGGTACTCTTCGTTATGTATGTTGAAATTTGCACGCCAGACAGATATTTCCGAGTCCGTTTACCTGTCGCGCCGAAAGTGGTGTCCACCCCTTCGGCAGATTGAACAGGAAACGAGAAACAGAGGTTGCTAGGGTGTCGACAACTTGCCATCCAACGAAGGTCGTAATTGCGTTTTACAGTTCATGTGGTAGACGCGAACTCAATTTCCTCAGTAACTAGGTACGGCCAAGTACCTCGCGTCAAAATGACGCAATTTATTGTTCAAGCTGATTTATGTTCAATGTTTCTTGAAGTATCTCTTATCATTTGCCATATCTGCAAAACAGATAGCAACGTGTATCCTCTGATATTATCACGATGTGATATCACTGTGATCCTTCTTACCGACGAACTGTACGAAGCTCTCAGAATGGTTTCACGTTTTGTTCGAACGTGGAGTTAGTTGGTCTTTCCCCTCATTCGATACAGGTACTCTAATAAACAATTCCTTTTTTTTTAACTTATAACACAATTAACATGAAGTTCCAAAAAATGTTCTCAATCGATATTTATACAAAATTAGCAATAAAATCGTAAGTGTATTGAGAAAAAAATGTTCAGTATTTGTGATTATAATTTTGGTAAAATAGAAGATACATAGTTAGAATCGAAAACGACTATAAATTATAATAATCATTTTCGGTATCAACTGTACATATTTTTTAATACTTATAATTATAAATATGTACATAATTATAATACTGTTCAACAATCAAATTTTCTTCGAAGTGTCATGTTCCGAAGATTTTTTTACGTTGAATACGATATCATTGATAGAATTTCTGTATCACGTCCGAATTTTGCAATGGGTAACTTGGTATGAAATGAACAAGAAATAATATTTTTGATTATTTTTAAGACTTTTTTTTAAAACAAAATAAAAACTTATTTTTAAATAAAACCTACAGCATCTAAAAGTATAATTCAAGTAAAATTTAGTTAATGATAATATGGTTTAATTTTATCAAAGTATAGTTTTTAGAATTTTAGACTTTCAATATAATTATGCAGTTAAACAAAAAATTACTTTTTCTCTTTAAAGTGCCACATTATATACCCCAAAGATTTTTTTTTTGCACTGAATACAATACTGTCATCAGAATTTGTGTAGTACGGCAGGATTTTTAGTGAATAGTAAATTTTTGGTACATTTCACTCCAAATCTCTTTAACTAATGCATATCAATAAGGTTATTATTACTAATTTACTAAAAATTTTGGTGTGTTGCGCAAATTCTGACAATGGAATCGTATTTAGCACGAAATAAATCTTTGAGGGATATGGCACTTTGGAGAGGAAAAAAGTGACTCTTTCTTGAACAGAGAGTGTGATTATTGTTACTAACATTATAATACCATAATAACTATAAAAATGAAACTTCTAACCATAATTATTTTACCATATTATTATAGTCACGAATACCAAACATTTTTTTTATCTCAATATAGCTTATTATCTTCGCTAAAAAAACATGAATTTCATGAAATCTATAACCGAGAGAATACTTGCATTTCCAAGACATATGGAGGACAAATGCGTTGAAGCTATTGTAATTAACGAGATAATAGATTTCAAAATACCTATTTAGTTTCTCTTGTCGCAAGGACTTCTCAGGTGTAATTATTATAATAATTATCTTTTCTCAATACTTAAAGTAACAATAGTTAGCCTGTATCCCTCGTCAAGAAAATTCTGGGACTCTCATGGTTCCCGAAACTATTTCGTGAGTTCCGTCATCAGTCATATTCTCGTCCAAACAGTCAGAACTTTTCGAGACAAGTTTTGAGAGAGCATGGCTCTTCTACATCCCACCTTTTGTAATTAAAGAATTCCGCTCACAGTTTCGTCAGATTATCGCAGGAAGTTGTGGAACTTGGCTGGGGATTGTCGACGACAATGACATAGGGCTATTTATCAACGTACGTCATTCCGCCGGTTACTACGTGAGAGAGAGAGAGAGAGAGAGAGAGAGAGAGAGAGAGAGATATGTTTATTTAAATTAATTGCAAAATCGATGGAGATCCGAGAAATGCGAGGTGACATGAATAGCAAAAAATACGGAGAAATATCGCGTAAGAGTAATCATCGAAAGAAAAATATCGATAGCAATATCATATAATATTAGATATACATTAAAAAAAGCTTAATGTCATTATTCAGTTTACGTCTAAATTGAATATCAATATTTTAAAAAACTGCTATCGAAAAGATCTCTTTTTGCAATTATGTTTTGTATGCAGTATAAAAAAATATTTGCTAGGATCGATATATTTTTGCGTTACGAAACTCGTAGAAAATATAAATTTTTTTAATTCATAGTGTCACTCTTTTGTTTTTATACGTGTATTATATTCTTTTGATATTTTTTGATATTTTTAAAACAATTTTATTTTAATGTAAATAATTTTTAAGATTTTCAAATATCTGTAATATTTAAATAAAATATTTAGAAATATTCATTATATATCTTTATATGTATATTTTTTATATACGAGCATTAAATTACTATACACACATTATTCTTTGTTAAAATTTAGATCGATGAAGCGCTAATTTTAAGGTTTTAATAATAGATTACCACATTTATTACTACATTTCCGAAATTTACTTATACGTCACATTCGTTTTCTCGGTGCATCAAATTAACGTGACGCCCATAATCGTTGCATTGCCGACTGCGGCAAAGCCGTTGTTGAGCTTTGTGTTCTCTGTTCTGAGTTCTAATATGACTGAGAGAAACTCCAACTACAATGTACTGAAAATACTCGACCTTTGAAATTCCACTCGAGTCGATGTTCTTCCTCGTAAAATTGAACTTAATCCATCTATATAAATTCGATCCATTTATCCTTTATGATGGCTATTGCCATCTCTCTTTTTTATAGTTTTTTACTTTATAATTTTAATTAACGTTCAATTGTGCAAAGTTTTTGTCGAAGTGACACACGTTATGTGTTGCATTGTATTTGAATTAACAAAAAGACCTAATGCTTGTATCAGACTTATGATTAAAATTGATATTGGATTGGAATTTGATTAATTAAAACAAGAGTGAACTGTGACTGAATCAACTTAACAAAGAAGCGTTACTTTCGGTCAAAGATAGATATTAGACTAGTACGTACATATGTGTATATGTATGTTTAAATAAAGTTATCTCAGAAATCACTGCGTGCTGATTTTATTTTCGGTCTTTCAATACAATCAGTCCGAAATATTAATAATCCCCAAATTTAATTATAATAGATCATCGATTTGACGTTCCTAGTATTTTAAAAAATGTAAAGAACTTATTGTGAAAAATATAATAAGAATTTTATCATAAAAATTTTTTATTGAGCCTAGAAAAATTCGGAGCAGTCTGTTACAACAAATAACTCATATTACGTGGCATTGCATAAATTTAGACATAAATATTATTGAATTATTAAAATAATTAAATAAGACGCTCAAACTAATTGTTAGAATGTCAAAACTTTTCGTACCATTACGCATCATACTTCAATTATTTTGAGATTTGTATCCAGTTAAATTTTTAGATACTTTCAGCAAATTTCTTTCCGTGCAGTGGATACTGATACACAAAACTTACAGAATTTTTAAAAGCTTACGTCCGTTTATCCTAGCTTTTACCTAGATTGGATTTCCTAATGGTCACTGAAATGACCTCCCTCACTTGTATGTAAAATTTACATATCGATAATGTTCTAGGGTTAATCTTTAATCTAATGCGGACATAACATCTTTTTGGTTTTTTTTAATCACGCGCATGCAATGTTATGCAAATTTCTCATAACTACCTTGGAAATTGGCTCACCGCGGATGTTTCCGAATTAATCCTGGTGCCAGTAGTATCCTTAAAAACGACGTGCACTCTAAGGACGCCACGAGATTCGGGTGAATTAATATTCAAGACCGGATTGCGCTTCTCATTACAGAAACGATAAGCGAGTCGGCGACGGACGCGCAAAAACCACCGTCACCGCAGCAAGCGCCTCAGCAACAGCAGCAACAACAACCGTCGCAGCAACAACCTCCTGGAGGTACCATGATTGGTGGTACCGGGGGTGGCGACGGCACCCCCGCGGCAACACCCACGTCCGCCGGTAACGTGCAGCAATCCCAGCAAGCGGTACCCTCGGCCACACCGACCCCGACGACTGCCAACCCCCATTCTACTGCAGGAGCCCCTAGCAGCAATCAACCATCGCCCCATCCCTCGCCTCTCTACCCCGTACTACCGCAGCAGGCCGGCCAGCCCAACGGCAGCACGCAAGGTAAGTCAGGGTTGCTAGTTTCCTTCTTGTGTTTAGTCGTCTTTTGTGTTGCACGACTGAACACAGGTTTGTATGATTCCGTATCGGCGATTGTTACCGCAGCATGCGAATTTACGCACGGCTACTTAAAAAATTTGAACAAGAATGATAAGAAGCCAACTGACTACTCTCTATCGAATTTTGAGTCTCGTAATTTTTCTAGTGTGAAATCAGAATCGTATTTGCTTTCCGCAAGAGATATAAATCGATAAATGACAAGAATATCGTTCTAATATAAGCTTTTGTTTTTCTCTCTTCCCGATGGACGGGAATACATAATTTGCTTGATAAAAATGAGGAATGCTAAGAATAAGACGTTGTTCTGAGGATATATACAAGGAGACTATATACGGGATGACGTAAACGGTATTCGATTGTGTGCTATTTGAGAAGGTAGATTCTATCGCGCGGTAGACAAGCCAATTTGAGTAGATACACGTGGGAATTGCTGTGTATCGATATTGCATTCGCACGCAGGAGGGCAAATAAATCATTCTATTTCCGTTTCATCTCGTTTTTGTTATGTAACAGATACGAGATATTTTGAACCCTGTGATTTACATACAATTTTTCGTAATAGTAGTTATAAAACGTAATCTAATTTATGTCTATAAATCTTACATCGGCAGATGTCAATCTCAACTTGCACCAATTGCTGTGTGAACAATTAATGGTATATGGAAATATTTATTATATAAATTCTGTTCTATAGCTTTCTTTTTGTAAACAGTTTTTTTGGATATTTTATTTTATTTTGGACTTTTAACATAATTTCCTTGCGTTATCGATTACTTATTTTGTATAATGTGCATTTTTCTAATATAAATTTTTCTCTTTATTGTGCATCTTTAATACTCTTAGTTAATTATAGATAATATATTATAGATGGCGGGAAAGAAATATTACCCTCCTTTTAAAAAGCTTTATAGATTGTCGCATAATGAGTACTTATCGCACTGAGCGCCTAAAATGCGCTCACACAATGATATATGCATAAGCGACCTAATTACGGAACGTCATGTACTGAGGTAACATTAATGAACTATCAAGTATAATCGTGGTGCATCGTATGTCGAATAAATTTCTTTCTTTAATCTTTTGATAATATCTTACTTTTTAGGTATTGACTAAAATAAATTCAAAATATTAATATTAAGAATATAATAATATGCTTATAAGAATTTTTTGTTTATTTTTTACATAATAGTAAAACGTAAAAATTGTATCTTAAAAGAGAAACGTTTAAAACAAAATTGTATTCATAAATTACGATTTATTTTATTTTTTAAATTAAGCAGCATACGTCTTTAAAAAAAAAAAATGTTACACGATGGATGTATTAACGATTTTTTTTACTGTTTAACTATTTTTTTAGAATTTAGCTATTTTTATAAATGTTGATAATTATTAAATATTTTACGCAAAATATAAAGTATAGATCGTGGCCTGCATTTTACACGTTTTCACGTATCAATGTATTTTTCAAATAAATTGGGTGACACCCCCCCCCCCCCATGGAATAAATAATGATATACGCGAACGTGCTAAAATAGATAAAATCAATTTCAATCGGTAACACGATAATTCTCGTATCTCTTAATCTATTATTATCGTAACTCTTAATCTATTATTGACTTTTGTTTGCAATACAAAACTGCTCATTGCACAGTTCGTTTGCATACAATCAATAGTGACATTTGCAATAAATTTAACATTAACATTAATCTCTAAATCTGAATCAGTGGATAGTCATTAATTACCCAGTGGCATACTTAGCACTGAATAATCAATGAAATTCAATTAAAAAAGGAAAAATGTTTGAGCATTACATAATTAAAATACTAATTATATGACATAAATTTAGAGAGTATATCGAATATTGAGAATTTTTCTTAAATTAGTGATATTTGTGTTTGAAATTTTGAATTATATATTACAGTTTTATACGCGTATTATACATAAGTTAATAATAAAAATATAGAAAATTATTAAACAATACTTACCATAATTATTTTTACTTATAATAACTTCTATATATGTAATAAGAATAACATTTGTTAGAGAGACAAATGTTACATATACAATACATTCTTTTTGTGCATGTATTTCATATTTTAACATAAAAAATATATAAACAAGAGGATGAAAAATTAGTCGTCGCAAGCAATTCAGTTCTATGTAACGTCACGTATAAGCAGCTGATGTATTGCTTAAACAAGCAATTATCAGATTTCTTCGTTGGTCTAAACTGAAACCGTAAAAGGTACTTTATTATCCGCACTAGTAATGATATTACAAAGTTTCCAATCGTAGACCTTGCAGAAGACTAAACTTTCAAACGCCTGTTCAAGGCTCTGACACAGCCAATTGCAGCAAAATTGAGAAAATGGGCAGAAATTCAACGTTTTTCTGTTGCTAATTTATTGCTATTGCATTGCTCAAGCCGATTTGACAAAAATAATGGCTGTGCTGATTTAAGTTTATAAATAGCGTAGCTGGAAAAAAATGAAACGTAAAAACAAAATTCGTCCTACTTGTCTTGGCCCGTTATACAAATTTCTTAATCATTGTACACGAAGTTATATAAAGATACGACGCACCGACAACATTATTATTCCCCGAATGTGTAATGTAATGCTCGCTAGAGGAGTATGATAATAATTTTATGCTCCTTTTCGCGCGATGATGTTTTTATTCGACGCAGGAGTACCGTAGGAAAATACATTTTTGTACCTCTTATATCCAAGTTTCCTTCTTTTTCCCTACGAGTACCGCCCATGCAGAGCACTATCTGCCGTGACTTACGTACTTCAAAGGCAAGTGCGAAACCATGCTTTCAAAGATATTTTGCTGCAGCGGGTGTAATATTTCAGTGATACTGGTGCGGACGCATCGGTCGCATTTTCCTCGTGAGTGAAAAATCAGCTATGTCGCGCCGTAGCTAAGGCAACATGTTTGCAAGCGCGTTAAAAGCGATGCAATAAACTTTTAACACCTGTTACCAGTGACAGATTGTTCCATGCTCAGAATTAAGGGCCAACTGTCCCGACGGATCGTTAATCTGAGAACAATAACGAGGAGAGAGTATGAAATGTTACGAAACGGCGTGAAATCATTGTCAGCTCGTTATTTCATTCCTAGATTTTCAGTCTAGATCTTAATTAATTTTAATTTTAGCAATTCACTCCCTTTTTACAGAAATCGACTTTTTTCTTGATAAGATATTTGTACTTGTCACATACATACATTATGCATCTTAAATTAATTATCTGTGTAATTATATATCAATACTAATAAAAAGTATTTTACTGCAAAATTGAGCTTTTCTGTTTTCGTACATTGTAATTTTTTATATATTAATTATATAATAGTGAATAAATTAAATGTATCTAGAGAATTACTAAAATTAAAACTAATTATTATTAGCGAGGGCCAGTAGTCTTTGATAATCCGTTATGTTTAAACTTTTCCATTAAATTCTTCACTTGGTAACTTATTAGATCGACAAAGCCTATATTCTCAAAGGACCGGGATTAGAGGCCGTAATGTACTCGTGTATCATGTGCGCAGAATAATGTATCGAGAGATTTATTGAAGAACCTGAATAATGACGGATCCGTAGAATTAATGTCTGGCGCGTTCAATCCCACGTTTCATGCCATATTAGTGCGTTGTCCAAGCAGTTTTCTTGGATTAGTCCCGCGCGTGTTAGTTCGTGTAAATATTATCGATCGAAGGTTATCCTCGTAGTGCGAATTGTGAGAAAGGTAAATCCGCAATAATTCTCACGAAATTGACCTCGTTCCGCGTGATGTTTTATTCACGGCAATCTACGTGCCACGACAGCAGTATGAACAGGAAAAAAATTTTTTAAATCTTCTATTTATGTTTTGTGATTTTCAGTATATATAACACCTGTTTTTAACAAACTTTTATTTAGACAAATATAACAGTAGAATAACTTTTGATCAATTTTTCATTTCTCAAAAATATAATAAGTGTTTCTTATAAGGCTTTTAATATTGAAAAAGAAAATACTTTTTAAAAAGCTCCATCACTTTTCAAATTGTTTAGAAATTCTGCTTTGAATTTTTTTTATGTAATACTGTATATTTATAACATATGTAATGTAAGCAATAAGAAATTTAAATATTGTTTTACAATATGTGGAGATGATTGCTTTTGCCTACAAATCGATTGCCTACAGTATCGTTTGTCTACATCACTTTTGCCGACAGTTCGTTTGCATACAAAAATTATTGCCTACAACTCGATTACTATCATGCGCTTTTGCACACAAATAAAAATTCTAGAAACGGAGTTACTATCGCAATCGAGTTATAGGCAATAATACATGTAGGCAAAAGTAACTTCGTTTCTAAAATTTTTATTTGTGTGCAAAAATGCATGTAGGCAATCGAACTGTAGGCAATAATTTTTGCAAACGAACTGTCGGCAAAAGTGATGTAGGCAAACGGGATCCCCCCCAATATGAGTATGTATATGTATGTGTGAAATAAATATGATTATAAAGATTATTTTATTGTTTATAAGTATAGGGTGCGGCAGAGAAACTTACTTTTTTTAAAGGTTAATAAAAACGAAACTATTGCAGATATCGGTAAGTTTCTCTGCCGCACCCTGTATGTAATAAGTGATATTATAAGTATAACAATAAGTGATATTATATATAAATTAATAAAATTAATTGCTAATATTTAATATTAAACTGATTTGCAAGATTTGCGATCTTTATGTATTTTTTTCGTAGCAGAAGAAAAAATTTTAAGTGTTTAAATTTATAGTTGTTAAAAATAATTGATTTCTCAAAAAATCTGTGGATAATGGAACTTTTTCAACCTTATTTTCTTTTTCAGCATTAAAAATAAGAATCACCATTTTCAAATGTTGAGAAATAAAAACTTTATAACATGGTATAATTGACACTATTCTCTCGTTTC